TACTGATGTATTGAGTGTTGAGAATCTAACACGGAGGATAAGTAAAGTAGTCATACAACTATGTTATGATATACGTAGTATTTTCATGATTTAAGTTTGAAAATGAAGCATATAAGCATATTCAATTCTTATGTTTTGAGTGTCAAAAATCTTAGACGGTGACCTACGTTATGAACTACTCATGATTTTATTTTGAAAATTAAGCATAAATGTACGGAGTACTTATATTAGGGTGGTCGAGAATCTAACACGGGTACTTACTTACGGTTACGTGTTTGATTTGAACAAAACAGGAGGACACATCAACCCAGCAGTGACCTTCGGACTATTCCTAGCAAGGAAGGTGTCTTTACTAAGGGCACTAGTCTACATGATAGCCCAATGTGCGGGAGCCATTTGTGGTGTTGGGTTAGTCAAGGCATTCATGAAAGGTCCATACAACCAATTTGGTGGTGGGGCCAACTCTGTTGCTCTTGGCTACAACAAGGGCACTGCCTTTGGTGCTGAACTTATTGGTACTTTTGTTCTTGTTTACACCGTTTTCTCTGCTACTGACCCTAAGAGAAGTGCACGTGACTCTCACGTGCCTATCCTTGCTCCTCTTCCTATTGGTTTTGCGGTGTTTATGGTTCATTTGGCTACTATCCCAATCACTGGTACCGGTATTAACCCTGCTAGGAGTTTTGGTGCTGCTGTTATCTACAACAACAAGAAAGTCTGGGATGACCATGTAAGTGTCTCCTTCTTTTGTCTCCGTCTTTCCGTAATAAGGGTATTTTTGTCATTTTACCATTACATGCTCGTGTTTAGTTAAATTGGTATGAAGTAATGGGTCATTTTAGGTTACGTGTTTGGGTGTAATTAATTCAGGGACGGAGTCACGGAGAGAGTCCGTACATTTACTAAATCGGGATTTATTTAATTATGGTATGATGGGAACTAAATGCTAATATTATGATGAAACGTTAATGTATGTGCAGTGGATATTCTGGGTCGGACCATTTGTGGGAGCATTGGCAGCAGCAGCATACCACCAATACGTGTTGAGGGCAGCAGCAATCAAGGCATTGGGATCGTTCAGAAGCAACCCTACAAACTAAGGATTAAGGAAACAATGTATTAATCAAATCAGAAATTAATGGTTAAAAAGGAAAAAAAAGCAAGGGAAAATATTGATTTGTTTTTTTGTGTGCAGTATTATAAAGTATGAAGAGATTATTTAGTCTTTCTTTCTCCCTTCGTTTTTCTTTTTTACTTATTTTTTATTTCTCTTGTAATGTGAAGTAAATTATTGAGTTAGCATCAATGGTGTATTATTGCTCTTCATTTTTAAATATCCTTAGTAGTGCCTTTTCTGTCTCGTGTTCGACTTATACATTTATTAATCAAATCACATTTGAAGTGACAAAAATGCCCATACTTGAAAGGTTATGCGATAACACTAATAATACCACGTACATTTATTTGTTGAGGAATTGTTGTAATAGTTCAAATCCGATAATAAAAAATATGAGAACTATTTTGGGATATTTCAGTTTAGGTAAGCGTACTTTTAACTTTGTAAGTAGTAACATGGCATCAATTGAGCATATAATGGAGTACTAGACTAATCGTACAATATTTTTCTAGTGAAGAAAGAAGATAACACATTAACACTAGATGGAACAAATAGAGATAATTCCAAAATGGGGTGTGGTGTCAAATCACATGGAAAAACACACCCCATTAATTAACCCATTACCCGTTGTAGAATTTACTCATTGAGATAAGTATCCACGCAAATTCTGGACACCTGTCAGACAATTATTGGGTATGCCAGAATTTACCCGTTATAAAGTAAGGACACGTGTCGGTATTGCATAGGGGTAATACACAACAGTTTAAACCAAACAATCAGTGGTGGTTTGAAGGCAGAAAAAAGTGTGATGAAATTTGGTCACTTTTTGACTAAAATCCAAACCAAAAACATTGTATGAAAAAAGTGGGATAAGCCAAAAATATGAAGAAAGGATGCATAAATGTTAGCCCAAAGTTTTTATATGAAATTATGGGCTTTGCTTTGGTGTATGATTTTACAGGTGAGAGAGAATGAGAGATCACATGGGGTGGGGGTGTTAGGGCCAAATTCAATGATTCATTTTTGGAGGAGAGAGATAATGTAATGAAAAATGGAAGGAAAATGTTCATATGAATATAGGGATTTTACAAGTACACAAATTTCTTATGATTTTCTGTCACAAGAAGAAGTTTTAGTACAAGATTTGTACGTTTAGACTAATAACAATCAGACAAATTTGATTTTTTTTGTTCTCGAATCATCTACGACATGATAATTACTTATTTGCTAACTTAATTATTGATTTGGATTATTAATGACGAGATGTGTAATATATGATCCAATATTAATGTTTGAACCACAATCATTAAGCTTAGAATTGACATACACTGTAGGAGTATACACGGTATTTACTAATTAGTACTCCGTATGTGTTTACTGGACAAGGTATATTTTTAACAAATTATCATGAATCATTCATCGCAGGGGCGGAGTTAGGGGGGGGGGGGGGGCTGGCATAGGCCATGGCCACCCCCATAATACTCTATAAAAACAATTTTGCTTAACATGTCTAGTTAATTTTGATAGCCCAGTTGAAGTGAGATTCCAATTTGCATATCTAGAGTTCGAAGGTTGTTGCACTATGCTTCCGCTACTGATTCATTCTACTTAGATTGTAGACAATAAAAGGAGAATATACTCTTAAGGTAAGATGGAAACATCAAAGTTGCTAAAACTAGAAAATCTTAAACCTACTAGACTTGTACCCTTGTATAGTAAATTCCGAGTCAATTACTTTTCAAGTGGAATGCATTCTTGTTACTCCACTCAATATCAACAATACTAGGTAAATTTACCAACACTCATACAAAGGTTAATATCAAGATAACCAACCCCAAAGCTAAACAAAGAAAAAAATGTTACGACCAACCCTAAAAGTATACAACTCATGTCAAAAAAAGGATCAATCTAGTGACTTCCCCTTATTAATCCTTGTCATCAATATCATAAGATACCATATCAATGTATCATGCTTTAAGAATAAATAAAAGGTGGAAAATTGCAAATTCCAACTTGCGAACTTTTGTTCATAACAAGAAAAGAAAGGACCAATGTCAAGATTGAAACTTGAAAGAAGTAGGGACAATCTATCTTATGGACCACAAAATATAAACTTGGGCCTTCTTTTCACGCTCCATTTCTTTCTTTCTTTTTTTTTTTTTTTTTTTTTTTTTTGATAAAAATCAAAAAAAGAGTTGAGTGGTTCAAAATCAGTTAGGTCTTATCTCTAGAGAGTTCTGACAATTTTAACAGAGCTAGAGTGTCCTTTACTTTACCCTTTTTTTTTTTTTTTTTTTTTTTTATATATATTTTTGTTACCTTTTAATTTTTTTTTTTTCAAATCTTATTACAGAATTTTACAGTTAGAGAATGACGTAGATCACGTGCAAAGCATGAGTCATATAGGTGGGACCCACATACAGTCATACATAGGGTGCCGTTTACAATTTTTACCCTTTCTCCTGTAATTTTTACAGCTGGTGCAGTGGTCAGCAGCACAAAGAGCAAGGTCAATAGGCTCTCAACAGTATTAGTCAATAGTGAACCAAATTATGAAGAGCATAGCCCAATTGTAAAATTTTCATAGGGCATATAATAAGGCCTCGAGAAGAACCAAATTGTAAAGGGAGTGACTCAAGAAAGTTACTCCGTAATATAGTTGTGACTAGTGCTCTTCAACGGGCAATTTTTTTGGACAACATAGATTATGATGAAAAGTGATTAAAGTCATGGAATTTAATTATGTGTTGGATTATATCTATGGTTTTGTAATTGAAGTTTTGACACGATTGATTAAAGAGGTAATTTGTGTCCTACATTCAGTACATTGGATAGTTTGAAAATTACTGATTTGATATCTTTGTCGATTTATTCTATATTTGTATTTAAAATATTCACATTTTTATTCATTTCAAATCACCATAAATTAGATGTCATCCTCTATATTAATTTAGATGTCATTTTCTATAGTAATTACTAAGCTTAATTTTGAGTTTTCATATTTTAAATGAACTAAGAATTTAAAAAGAATTTATTTACATTGAAAAGGTGGAGATAAACATATTGTACAAAGAAATCTTGAAGTGTAAACTCTTAAACAAATGTGACATATTATAACTCTATTAACATCGAGAGATATATAATCTATCGTTTTATGCTATGCTTAATATAGTAGGAGGGTGTATAAGTGTAAAACTATGTAATTAGAGCCATGTTTTAATTTAGATACTTACTAGATTCTCTTATATTTAAAAAATAAATAAATTATTATTAGTATTAAATGGAATAATCTTCACAACCAGCACTTGCTCAATGAAGACACAAATTGTCCCAACAAAGGCTATATAGACCTATAGTTAGACTGCTAACTAATCATGATAGGATTTTTAAGGAAATTTCATAGGGTAGCCTTATCCCTCAAGCATCACCACAACTCATCTATCACCTCAAAATTTAAGACCTAATAATAATGCAACACCCTTTAATAATTACCATTGTTCCAAGCATGGTCCAAGTGTGATACAAATGTCATGACACAATACTCGGATACCCCTAAGATTAGTATCAATGGCCATAGGACATCTTATGGTCACTCAAATCATCCAAGAACTAACATATTACCTCCGTTAAATATTATGTACAACTTTTAGGTATTATTTGTGAGATATAAAAAATTCCAAAATTGCACATTGTACGTAACAGAGGTAGTAATACGGAGTAGTCTACAAGACATCTATTGGTCACTCAAATCACCCAAGAACAAAAATAATTAATACTTGTATTCTACAATAAACACCATAAAGCCATATTCATAATCTAATCTTGTAAAAGGATGAGGATCATAAAAAGGATCTTTATGAAACACGCAATGGCAAATGAATTATAACCAGCTAATTAAAATTTGCAGGGCTCATTTCTTGTGTATAGCCAACTCAAGTTAATACATTAGATCATTGTGCATTGAGGTTCCTGTTATATGTTAATTATGTACCTCAGAATGGTAGTGATGACAACCTTGAGGGTGCATGTAGCAGGGAAAACGGGGCACTCAAATTGGATATAACAGAATTGAATAATACTTAGATAGGCATTCCCATTCTTGCATACCAACACTATTTGTACAACAAAAAAAATACAAAATTACAGAACGAGCTGGTCCATCATGAAGATTCTTCTTGATGAGGCTCTTCCACAGAGAAGGCCGTCACCTTGTCCACAATCAACTTGTCCAATATACCGGCTACTGGAAGTAAAAATCTGCTGACAAGCCATAGAATGTCACCAGAAGATCAGACAAAAGAGATTTTTTCCCATGGCCACAAGTTTTTGAAAAATTGACAATATAAGCTGAAGTGTCTAATAGAAGGGAAGTATTGGAAAATTGGGTCTTTACATCCTTCATACAACAATCAAGAAATATATCATACAATGGTATCACAAAACTCAATCACAATAATACAGTATGTTACTATACTCTAGAAGAGCGATACCTAGATAATCAAGTCAAATTTACAATTTTGTTCCCAAATTCAAAGGCCGTTCAATATATAGATGAACCACAAGCTATTTGCATGAGTGCATGGCATTAGATAAAAAAGATGTGTGGCCAACTGATGTCCATTGGACAAGTTTTTCGTAGAGAAAGCTAGTTTTAGATCATACAATATGCTCTGATTTACTAAGGTCTTTAAGAGCTAGAAAGATTATTTGCAATTACTGATTTACTGTCCTTCCAAAACAATGTCACGTTTATACTTCAGTAGTTCAGTTCAGAGCAAAAAAGCAGAAATTCACATTACATCACAGCAGAAAACATGGAGAAAAGCTGTATTAAATTACTACTCTGTAACCTTAATCCTTACTGCCCAACCAATCTCGATTCCCCCTACCTTATCCTCTATTCTCCCGAGTTATATGTTTGCGATACTTTTGAAGATCAAAACTGTTAAATAAAATTTTGTACTCCAAGAGAACGATATTTCTCTGGACAAAATCTGTGTCATGACATTTCAGCAATAACAGTGTACAGTATCAACTGTTGATTTCAGATAATAATTTAGAACTGGCTTTCTTTAAATTCTCTCTCCCTCTCTCTTTACCCCTTCTTATAATGATGTTAGGAGATGTGTGAGCCTGTGGAGTGTGGGCTCATGGATAATCTTGCATTCCTCTGGACAATTCTCAGGGGAAGGAAGATAATTTAACATTCACATGATGAAAAGTACAATAGGAAGAAAGGATGATAGTTAAAAAATGCACAGAACAAAACTTATGTAGAGATCACACAAACAATTTCTGAAAGAGCAAGACATCCACAAACAGATCAAACATAAAGTTGAGATGAATAAACAGCAGCAGAAAAGAATTTTGTTCAAGCATTAATTGGTACTTAACCTCAGTCGGGCAATGCAGTTCCTCTTTCCAGATTGTTCTTGATCTCCAGTGTATATTTTCCAAATGCCCGTTCGATTTTCTTGTTGAAATGCTCATTACGGTCATTGATAGAGTCAATATCCTTCTCTTCACGGAACTTCCTCCTCCTGCTAAATGATTGCCGTTTCTCATCTCTATCCTTAAGCTCCTTGACCATTCTATCAATCTTAGCTTCAGATGTCTTTGGATCCTGTATAACCAAAATGAAAAGAATATATTATAATAAAGAACCAAAACTTTCTTTAATCATTGATGAACACCATAATTGCAACACAGCTATAAATACCTTCCCATATTGAAGGCTGGACGCCTCTCGATAAAACTCAGGGTCCTGTTCTTTCAACTTGTTGTATTCTTCAAGGTCAACTGCTATATTTTTGGTGCGCTTCTTGTATGCATTGTACAATGACTTTTGATTAAAAACTGCATCAGTAAGTCAGTACATGTAAGTTAGAGCACTTACATGTAAATGTCAAATAGGATCCTATCACCAACATTTTATTATCCAAGCACTCTACCAAGGAGTCAGTGCATCTGGACTATCCTCAAAATCTTAAGTTAAAAAAAATTACAATAATATATTAATAAAGCAAACTTTGATGGTCTTCACTTAGATTTGAACAAGTAAACTAATAAATTTGAATGGAGCAAGTTATGGTCTAAATGTTAACAGAACTTCACAAGTTGCACAAGTTGACATAAGCAACTTGCACAAGAAGCATCCCACACTGAAAAGCATGCTCGGTATCAATTTTGTTAAAAAAAACCCATGAAGGCAGTTATTTACGAAGTGCTGTACCTATCTATCACTAGATAATGAATTTTCATCCCTTAAAAATCTCTAGGAATCCAAGTACTTCAGCTTAATAACTGAGATTAAGCAGGAAATGTACAACAGCCGTAGAGATTAGAAACGACAAGGTGAAATATATAAAGATCATACGATAAACACTCTTCCTTTATAGAAAAGTAAAATGCTCCAAAAGCCAACACATTTTAAGAAATTTAATACTCCGTGATTGGTACAGGACTTACCATCCCAACCAGTTGGAGCTGGATCTTTCTCCCATTTCTTATATTTCAACTCTGCTGCATCCTGCGTATCCAACATGTATGCCTTTGTCATGTCCAAACCATTAGCTTCCAGAAGTCTGCCAACCTTTTTCTTCCTTTCTTCAAGCCATTTCTCTTTGGACACTCCCCTTGACTCAGTAGGAGCTTCCATTCTTTTCTTCTCTGCCACCATAGCTGTTTGATTGGCTTTTCTGGCTTCATTCTGCAAGAAAAAATAAAGTTGCAGGAAATGAAAAGTGAAACAGGCCACGTAAAATGTAGTACTCATGAATTCGATAATCATATAGTCATATACATATGATCATCATATGAAGAGACTCTACAAATTTCAGGCTTTTAAGGTTCCAAAATACTCACCATCTTAAGCCTTAATTCAAATAACTTCTTCTGTCTCCCTGTAAGTTTAGACAAGTCAACTTCTTCCATAGTAGCTTCTTCAGGATTGTCATCAGCATTATCAGCATCTTTATGTGTTTCTACTTCATTGTATGATAATTCAATTTCATCAGGAGCAGCTGCATCAAGCTTGGCTTGGCTCCCACTAGCTCCTGTAACCTCTAAGAACACACAGTGGCACACAGCCAGAAACATCAGCTATCATCGCAGAATGACAAGATGCAATCACCACCCACTTTCTTTAGAAAGGGTTGATTGCCACAATAATAATATAATTTCCAAAGTACCTATAACTAATACTATGGTTGCTACAAGAGGTAGACCATACAGGGAGGTTATTAATTTAGGGTGCAACATAAAAGAGGCGCATAAATAATTTTAACAGCAATATAACTATGTCAGTATTTGGTACGTGGGAAAATACCCACTAAGTTCACATGTAAAAAGAAACCAATTCAAAAGTCTGTTTACCTTGGATTGAGGATACAGATATTTTAATAACTTTCAGCCACTATATCTAAATTTCAGGCACCATATTAATATGATTGAACAAAGGCTTAAACTGGCATCTGTGTGGTTGATCACTAGCAGTTAGTAACATATTGGCTCACAAAATGACGCAATTGATAAAGTTACTGGATAACCATCGCTCTTAACTGTTATTTGCAGTTTGGTTTATAAGTAGTTCCAAGTGTTTGGACTTCTTGTAAAAGTTCCTGCCCAAAAATCTGATAATTAACCGAGAAGAGCTCTAGGGAGTGCTACAGTTTCAATGTTTTAGTGGTATGCTCATTGAAGTACTTATAGAGAGCTATAGATTGTGGATTTTGCACCCTTGATATGTCTGAATGGGTAGACCAGAACTGAAATCTTCCAAGCTCCCACCTGCTTATGCATCAATCAAGAGCAGCAGAGAAGGCAGCACACTAAAGCAACTTCCTACTCCAGTTTATATATACGTAAAGCTGGGACTTTGCACTAACATTTCTAAAATCATTACGCCCACACAGTAAAAACACAGGAAATAATTTCCAAAGCTTCTAGAGTACCTGTGCAATCTTGCCATTAGATTGCAACACACTATTCAAGAAGAAAAGAGTTAAAAGACAGCTCAATAATAAACCTGGCCTTTGTGCACAGATATTCAACATCAAAACTAAAACTCATATTAAATAGTACCTCCACAAGGTTTCTACTACGCATAATCTGAATCTTCAACAGAAAATAATCGATGGAAGAAAAAACTGACAACCATATTGAAGGAACTCTCTCGTAATTTTGTGACAATCATGGATAATCAAACACATCTAAAAAATGCTCAACTTGAGTGAAACATAAGTAAGGAAGACAATGAATCAAGAAAACTCTTTTCATTTTGTATATGTTTCTCACCCCAAACCCTCTAAATGAGGATCCCCCCATTCTAACGCTTTAGTTATTCAGCTTTAATGTTCGTTTCCAAGATTAATTCAATGTGCTTTTCACAAGATAGTAGCTTTATTTTAACTTTAAAAAAATATGATCTCTCAATTGTTCCTATCCTCCTCTATATCAAGGGAAAAATCACAATAGTTGAATGTTAAATTAAGATATCTCACAAGAAGAAAGGAAACATTTTCTCAAAGGCATTTGCATCCCCACAAGCAACTTTGTCAAATTTCTGCAATAATTCACCCTGGTATTCTTTTCAAAGGTGTATTATTTACAAGATAAAACCTTTAATTAAGTTAATAAAACCAAGATTCTTCAAGTAATCCAACGCTTGTTTGGTTCGGTAACACATAGTCAAATGACAAAGCGAAGCCCTGAATCACATCTATCTAATTTCAAACTAGATAAATGCTTTCATAAGTTCAAGGTGATGCATCATCATAAGCATCTATGTTCACTCCACTCTCCAACTTCGTACTATAACAAAACAACATAATATATGATGCTTCTATTAGCAATTTGGCAATAAATCCCTATCAATTAGGCAATAAGATGCTTTCATAGACAATTATCATTCCATTAATTCATTACAAGTAATAACCAAATTAATAAGCAAATAAAAGAAAAAATACCTTTGTCGGTTTCGGAGAAACGAGCTTTGGATTCGGCAATCTTCTTGAAGCAATACTCAACGCATTCATGGTAAGGGTTTGATGCATTTCTGCAATCTGGATGAACACCTCTTTCCCGATCCATTATTTTTATTTTTTGCAACCTAAAATGCAAAAATCCCAAAAAACTTAGGGTTTATCCACTTGAATAGTAGTAAAAAGCAATCAAATTCAATAATTGATCACAGAAAATAAAATTGAAGTGAGAATTTGCATATCAATAGGACAAAGGGAATAACGAATTTACCAGATTTATTATTGAATTGCAGAAGAGCTAAGTTTTTTGTGATCAGCAAATTAAGAGAATCAAAGGAACCCTAATCAATCGTTCTGGAATTTGGAGCTGAGCAAACAGAGAAAAAGGGGAAGAAAACGAGCCCTAGAATTTTACTTACTGGCCGAGTCGCGGCCGAATAGTGGCTAACGGAAGCGTGGTAGAGTATTAGAGTATGATGAATTTATTTGGATTATTCTTTATTTGGTTCTTCCTAGACCGCCTCCCCTGGTCTCCTGCCGAACTATATCTCAGTACCCCTTAAGTTGGAGCATTAGATTCTAAAATAACCAATTTGAAAAGGAGAAGATCAAATTGAGTCTTGCCAGGTGCCTTTGTTAAAATTTCCGTCAATTGTGATGATGTTGGAGCATATGAAGGAGATATCAAGCCTTTATTTATTGCATCACAAATATAGTGACTATCAACCTCGATATGCTTTGTTCGTTTATAAAACAGGGGATTCTTTGCTATGTGTAAAGCCGACTCACTATCACAAAATAGTTTAATTGCTTTAGGATGCTGCATACCCAATTTCAAACAACAAATTTTTTTTAACCACTTTAGTTCACAGGTGACCGTGGCCATGGCCATGGATCTCCTAGACAATTCACCCAAACACGACCATCGAATCATTAAATGGTTGTAGAAAAAACATATATCGTGTGCACATAGATATAGTAAACAACTAAACATAAACATAAGACTTGAAGCACAAAATAAGGAAGATTTGAAATTTTGTACTCGTTTTTTATTTTTTAATGTTATCATGTCATCGATACATATATCAAGGAAACGAGGAAAGACTATGTTACAATTTTACATACTTCGTATATATTGGTATCAATTACCGTACCATTACCTTCCTCAAACTCACAAGTTTAAGTGGTCCATTAAGGTTTAAAATCTTAGTGTAAATGATCAAATGTATTAAGTACTAAATGATTCATTAACTTAATCATTCATGGACTTAGCCATTTAGGTATTAAGCACCCCTTAACCGCCACCTAGTATAATCATGTACGACACACCAATCAATAGACTAAGTTTTGCTTAAGAATGGTCACTTAATTTTGCAAAAACGTCAACATAACTTAATGTGAAACTGTGTCGAAAATGTATTTAAATTCAAAAGGAATATAAAAACAAGCCTTTTATATGCATCTCTCTTTGCTTCATTTGATGCAAGTAGTTGAGTTATTTTGCAAAATAAATTAACAAAAAATGAATGATAAACTAAGGTAGTTACGCCATCTTAGCTCATGCAAATTGTACTCCCATCATTACAGCATTATTTATAAAACCTTCTTTAAATTATTATTAAATCACATATAATAAAATTTCATCCCAATTTATTTACAACAAATTTAAGTCCTACAATTCCCTCCAACCTCCTTTCAACTTATAAATATATGTTGCTTCCTAGTTTCACGCCTGTACTACACTTCACCTACCAAGTTAACAGAAACAACTTTCATTGCTAATCCCTACCTATATATACTCTCTTGTAATTATAATGATGAAATTTCTTTATTTCTTATGTTATCTTTGCATCATATAATTAATTTCCTAGAGATGGATGATGCTGGATGATCTGAGGTGAGATTACTCGAATCGTATGTCGAAAACTCTTACAAACATTGTTATCACCTCAAGAGTAGTAAGCTTATTGCATGGATTTTTGCTTCCATATAATTTGCTTTCTACTTTGTTCTTGGTTTGCTCTGCTTCTATATGTCATACTTTGTTTTGTCGTCGAAAAACGTAGCTGTCTAAGGAGAAAAAGAGGGAAATACTCTTTTTTACCAGGTATATTTGTTAAACTATTCTCTCTAATTATTTCCTTGCAAATTTGCATCATTTTCATTTTGTGAGTTAAAAGGCATGATACATTATAAGGTGATCTAGCTAGTTATATTATGAAGTCATCATGCTAAGCTAGGAAATTAAATTTTCTTCTACATGTATTTAATCATAAATCCTATTATTCCTAGTAATAGTTGGGTACTAATGACATAAACATATTATGCAGGACACAAACAAGCAATCAAAAGATCCTTAATTACTTAGATTAATTTGTATTCAGAATTTCAATAAAATTAAGTTAGCTACTAATCTGATCAGATACTCTAAGAGTCTAAGAGCATTGGTATATTGTGTTACAGATCAAAAAATTGTGTACAAAAACTTAAATATTTCAGGCAGTTTCTGATTGAATTATCGGTTTAAGTCAAATTTCGTGTCTGTAGCAACAGTATATATTCAGTTTTCTCTTTTTATGCAGATTATAATTCATTAACAACTAACATAATTCATTGCAACTGTTTCGAAAGCTAATAATCTGTTTTATATGATGAAGATAAAATGAGCATTGCGTCAAGCCCTATGGATAGTTTAAGGCAACTGGTGAACTCCAAGACTTGGGACTACTGTGTCCTCTGGAAATTAAGCGAAGATCAAAGGTACTTAATTTAATTTTCAGAAACATTGTATATAGTATATACGTACATTAATACTTCCTATATATGGTTGATCAAACTTTGATGAATGTATATTATCTGAAATTCTTTCAGGTTCCTAGAGTTTATGGACTGCTGTTGTGCTGGAAGCGAAGGCAGCATGGAAAATGGCAATACCGTTGGTGAAGAGCTTCTGTTTCCTTGCAGAGATATGACATTTCAGCACCCTAGAACAAGGAGTTGTGAATTACTTGCTCAATTGCCCTCTTCTCATCCCTGGGACGGGTACTACCTCTTTCGCTTTCATTCCTCTTTAAGCTGTCCTTCAAATGCAGACTATTTTTGTGTGTTTCTGTGACTGTACTAATTCGCCATCTAATAACTTAACTTGTAATACAGGATTAATATGGAGATCCTTATATCAAATCAGCCGAAATGGCTAAACTTCTCAAATGTCTCTGATATAAACGTAAATGAAGTAAGTCATGCTTTATTTCGTTATAAATCCACTCATATGAGCCTTATGTCAGGCTCAAATTATTTCATGCACCTAGGAATACTAAGAACGACACTCCCAATCTGGTGCTCCCCTCCACAAATGCCTATTGCATGCACCGAAACAGAAGCACCACCAAGACTAACTCTTAATGTAAATCATTACTAGTTTACTACATTAATGGATTAAAAGACTCTTTCTTTAAGAAGACTAAAATTTTACTGTACTTTATATGATTTAAACAGGTATCGACGGGTACAAAACTTCTGATCCCAATTCCTGGTGGACTGGCTGAACTATTTGCTGCTAAACAAGTACTAGTTACTAAGTATCCCCTTCTTTATTACTTCATTAAACAATATAATTATGTTATTTATTTCATTTGGCATTTAGTATAAGGTCTCTAAATAAATAATTTGTACGGGTTTTGAAGATCAATGAAGATCAGTATGTCATAGACTATGTAATGACTCAATGCACCACCTTGATGGACCAAGCAGCAATAAGCAGCTCGAGCAATGCGGGTCCCAGCTTCACGATGGACATTAACATGATCAACGAGCTCCAATCGAATCCAACATTATCTGATCAAAACAATGCTATGAGCATCAACAATGAATCTCAGTCTTCAATGAATTTCTTGCAACAATTTAACTATGTTTCAGATACAAACAAGATGTCTAGGACTGATTTTCTCGACGAAGCAAATGACTCATTTCAAGCTGAGAATCATCACCAATTAAACTCCTTCAAGTCCTTATCAGAGAATGGGTTTGAAGATCTTATGAACAATGCTAACAGTATGCATAATATGCATGTTTTGGATCATTCAGCAAATGATCATCAGCATGTAGATGAGAAGGGGCCTCCACCTAAGCATGAGATGGGCCGTGCTGACTCTGTCTCGGATAGTGATCCACTTGATGACGATGATGATCCAAAGTATCATCGACGAAAGCTCACAAAAGGCCCTCAATCTAAGAACCTCATGGCTGAGAGGAAGCGGAGGAAGAAGCTTAACGAGAGGCTTTACCATCTTCGGTCTCTAGTCCCTAACATTTCCAAGGTAAAAGCCTAAGTTATGATCAATTGTACTATGTTTACATATAATATAATGTTGGAGATATTATTAGGAGAGGAATGTGGTTAGGGAATGATCTGTTTTCTTGTCCTTTTAAATCGATCCTTGTAGTTGGATAGAGCTTCGATACTTGGGGATGCAATCAAGTATGTGCAAGAGCTGCAGAAGGAAGAAAAAGACCTTCAAAACGAGCTTGCGAGGAATTCAGATGATGAAGATCACAACAATGATATGAATATTGATCATGCACAACATCATCATCACCAACTTCATCAAATGAATTACTCACCAGAAGTTCAAAATGCACAAGGGACAAGGTATGGGCCAGATTTTGATCACGGAAAGCCTAGAAACGGGTTTCACATGGGAGGAGCATCTGAAAGCTTCAATAGAAGCAGCCATGATTTTGAAAGTGCTAGTGACAAAGCACAACAAATGGAGGTAGTCATTACACAAAATGGTTGCGATAATTTCTTGGAATGTATATACTTTGAGTCTAAATTTCTTGAATATTGCAGGTTCAAGTGGAAGTTGCGCAGCTAGAGGGGAATGATTTCTTTGTGAAGGTGTTTGGTGAGCAAAAGAGAGGTGGGTTTGTGAGACTAATGGAGGCTTTACATTGTCTTGGGTTGGAGATAATCAATGTGAATATGACCAGTTGCATCAGTCTTGTCTCTTATGTATTCATTGTTAAGGTAATTACATCTTCGCATTTGTGTTATTCATACAAATTTTTCTTATAAGAGTTTAGCTAATTGTCTAACAGTTAGGCAACTAATAGGGGGCGAAATGTTGGAAGTGACTTTACTTGACTTAAGTCTCTCTATATTATCCTCATTAAGGGTATTTAGGACATTATGTCCCTTGTCAAATTGCTTAATAGTCAGGTAAATAATTTAAAGTATCTAATAACCTTTTTTGTCCCTGCATATCTTTTGGCAAATTCATGATAGAAGAGGGACCGTGAAAGTGTACAAGCAGAGTACCTGAGGGATTCGTTGCTGGAGGCAACGCGTAACCAAGCTGGATTTTGGTCTGAGATGGCGAAGGCATCATCAGAGAATGGAAGTGGCATCGATCATCGACATCAGAATCAGATTTACGCGCTGCAGCACCACATTCACAACCGCCATATAGGACCTTTCCACAACCACTTTCACCACCTCAGTAACTAAGATACAAGGGTGCTTTTTCTGAGGCAAAACTAATAAAGCTTAAGCAGCTTAATATTCTCTTTTTTCTTTCTTTTTATGTAATACTCCAAATATGAAGTCCTAATTGTAGCATCTCTGCTGTTTTTTAACTCGTGAATAAAGATGTAAAGCAACATCTAGGGCTTAACATTATCAGCACTTGCCCTGCCTTTATTTGTTGATTCCCTTTGTTATTTGGTGTAATCAGGAAGTTTACATAAGCTACGGTGTACCTTTTTTCGTCGTTTTTTCGTAGCAAAATCGACTAGGGGAGGAGTATATGACACCAGAATGTCTGAAAGCAATTGACCTAAGCTTCATACATCAAAAGGCTTAAAGCTAAACCCCATCATAATATCATATAGAAATTTCCTGCAACTTTCATAACTAGTTGAAGACATATTCTAATCAGATTAAGGTGTTATATCATCATATTTTATTTGGGTGCTAAAGGCCAATATTATATAGACAAATTAAGTTTGAAGGAAAAATTATTGCCTTATACGAGTTATTGAAAATTCACTTACAAGTTACAATAATCCCATTAAACAGTCATAAATTGTAAATTAATCTCCTAAGTGAAAACGACCAGAAGACTAAGTCATTGGGTGTAATTGTCATGGTCAAATAGCAGCTGAATAAAGTAAATCAAGTTGAAAGAACATTTCAGCATTAGCCAAAAACAAAAAAACTAAGTCAATCTCTTAAAATTTAAGCAAAAAGTCAAACATCATTACAAGATTTTCTTCAAGAAAAAACCCACCAAATTCAATCTGCACATTGTTGTTATCACCCTTTATCTAGTGCAAAAAAATCATACAAATTAAATAAAAAATTTATCATACAATGAAGATTAACATGGACAAAATTCCAACAAGAAGAAGGTAACGCCCTGCATTTATGTGATTTCTAGCTGAAGAGTCCCCTGTTTGGTTAACAAAAGTTGTGACAGGTGCTGATACATTTATCCCAAATCTCATCCCTAGTCGACAATGCGAGTCCACGGTGCATATAAACCAATACGGCTTGGCCTCATTGAGTTCGATATGATCATCACCGGTCTCATATTTGGCATTCACTCCACTGCTATTATCACAGGATTGATATGCTGCCCTTGTTACATCTAGTACATTATGTGATCCCTTTGTGTAACTAAACACTGCACAACACAACCAATAATCACGCGTTAAAACTACTATTTTTGGATGTCCGAATACAGTTCAGTTTAATAAGAATTCAGCGCACCAAGAAGACCATCTCTAGTGGTTGACTTTATTGATTACATATGATTTGGATTAGCAAAAGCAAGAATTATTAGAGTAAATGGTATCTAAATTTTAGAAAACTAATGATTAAAATGATAAAATTAAGATGAAAAAAAGAAATTTAAATCATACCAAGAACATCACCAACAGTGAAATTGAGTTTTTCTGCCCATGAAACATAGCTAAAACCATCAGTCCAACGGTTCTCACCACCTACTGTGATAACTTCAGATTTGGAAAAAGTGAAGAACATACAAGAAATGAAGAGGAATTTCATGATATTTAAAAAGTAGTTGAAAGATTTGGGTTTTTTAGTTATACCCATATCTTGTTTTATTTGGGTTTATATTGATCGATCGGATGCTTTGAATGGAGAATAATGAATAGATAGTTGGAACGAAAAATATGATTTCTATAATATAAAATGGTGAACTGCTAAATAATGCTCCCATTTTACAAGGCATCGATCCCATTTTGTCATGGAAGGACGATATTGCCCTTTGTGTAAGTTGGACTATATAATGATCCATTATGAGACATATGGGCATTTTAATATTATTCCGACCCCTCCACTTAGTACCACGTGGTTAAAAAAATTCCCGAGCCCACCACATCCGACCCCACCACATTCGATCCACCACCAAAAATCCGATTTTTTTTTTTTAAAATTTTTTATTAAGCTTTAGCGACGGGTTTAGGACGATGGATGACGACAACGATCGTACACCGGAGGCATCGTCAGAGGATTCTGTAAGTCCTCATACTTTTTTTTTTTTTTTGAAATGAAAACATCCGCCTAAAATATCCGGAACCACCTTGGTGGATCCGCTTAAAATTTACGGATCCACCAAGGTAGATCCGAAAATTTAAGGCGGATGTACACATCCGCCCAGAATTTTTGGATCTTCCTAGGTGGATCTGGAAATTCTTGGCGGATGTCTTTTTTTTTTTTTTTTTTTTTTTTTGTATTGTATTGTATTGATTAATTAATCAATTTTTTTTTTGAAACTAATTAATCAAATTTATTAATGTAATCTTTGTATTATTATTATAATTTTTATTGTGATTATTATTATTTTTGTGATAATTTATTAGTTAATATTAGTTGATGTTGTGATATTAGTTAATATTGGTTTATTTATTATTTGCTTATTATTAGTGTTTTAAATATATTATTGTGATCAATCTTATTATTTAACTTGTGATTAGTGATATTATAGTATTATTATTGTTTTATAAATATTGTTATTAATATTATAATAAAAAAAATATTGGAGATTTTATTTTTTTTTTTAGGATTTGGAGTCTGAAGATGGCGGTGATGGTGTGAATTATAGTGTGAATTTCGTCACGGACACGTTATTTCCAACGTTTGATAATGTAGTTAAATGGGCGGATGCTGTTTCCATAAATTTGGGATTTATTTTGGTTAAATCGTCTTACAACAAAACCAGAGATGGTCGGCCGTATCGATATTTGAAATGTGATCGGGGACGGAAGAGCTAGCCGAGAGATTTTGAGAATGCAATACGAAAGGACACAAAAACCAAAGCTAATGCTTGTCCTTTCTACATCAAGATATATTATGAATTCATCACAGACAGTTGGAAGATCCGTGCAAAAAATGATTAAACTGGGACCCATAACCATCCAATTATTGTGTATCAGGAGGGTCATCGTAAAATTAGTGGCTTGAGCCCGGATGCAAAAAAGGTTGTGCGTGACATGACAAAATCCAAGGTTGCACCGCGTAACATCATGGCAACTATTGTAGAGCAATTTACTGATGATCATCCAAACATCAAACACATTTACAATTGTCGGAATGACTTGAGAGCGGATATGTCTGAAGGCAGAGGAGTTGTTCAACAATTTCTTCATTTGGCGAGACAGAGTCAGTATATTTATTAGGTCATGGCCGATGACCTCGGCGTTCTACAACATGCATTTATGGTGCACCCAATCATGGTAAACAAACTATGCAGATACCCACATGTAATCGGTATGGATTCGACATACAAGACCAACCTATACGGGATGCCGTTATTTGAGATAGTAGGTGTAACACCGACAAATCAGAATTTCCTCGTTGGTTATGTGTTCATGCGCAACAAGTGCACGACAAGCTATCGGTGGGTGTTGCAGAGATTAAGGGAGTTGATTGGGTATGATAAAGAACCATCGGTATTTTTGTCAGACCGTGAACTTGGCCTCTGTGCGGCATTGAGAGAAGTGTTTCCAGGGATGTCACATTTATTTTGTCGATGGCACATTAACAAAGATGTAGAGGCTAGGGTGACTGATATGTTCAAAAATAAGGGTGACTGATATGTTCAAAAATAAGAAGATCGGTGCGAGTTTTAAAAATGGTAAATGGAAACGTATCATGAATGCTACAACCGAGGCGGATTATAATGTTGCTGTAGATACAATGAAAGCTACGTGGGCAAGTTATCCGGCAGTGATTACTTACGTTGAGAGAACATGGCTTTGTCATAAAATCAAATTTGTGACATTTTGGACGAACCAAGTTCTTCACTTTGGTAACACGAGTAATTGTAGAGTTGAGAGCCAACATTCGGCAGTGAAGACGTGGTTTGAATCATCGACAGGTTCGTTGTTATAATGTTGTAGTGTTGTCTTTACTTCGTTTTAGTAATTTTAATTAAAAATCATAATGTTTTTTTATAATCTGAATCAACGGCAGGTTCTTTGGATACCGTATGGGCCCGAGTACATTGTCATATTGTTAATCAGATCATTGCAATTCGTAATGGTTTGGAGGCATCAAGATCGAAAATTGGTGAGAAGTACAGACAATTGCCACTATCACGTATAAATGGCAAAATGTCTCAACATTGTTTGAAAATTCTCGACGATGAGACGAGAAGGATGAGGGAGTTGAGTTACCAGGTGTATGAGCGTTGTGGATGTGCAATGCGTATAACCCATGGTTTACCATGTGCTTGTCAGATACATGATTCTCTAGTTGCACAGTGAGGCTTGTATATCAGGCAAATTCATCCATTCTGGAAGACCTTAGTTATTGGTGATGGTGTTGATATACTTGTGTTCGTTAACGATTCAACCGAGGAAGCTGCACATTTTCGTTCCCTGGTTGACGAGGTCATTGGCAGTGATCCTGCTATACTTCGAAATATATCTCGCATCATTGAAGAGGAGCTGGATCCGGATCATACAAACCTTGAAAAACCACATGCAAACCACAATGTTTGAGGTCGACGAAGGAACAATGATACCAGGCATGATCCTTGCTATTTCGAACATGTAAACCGTCGAAACACTCAACGTGGTACACAACAAACAGGTACGACCTCATGTAAGTCATGAAATTACACGTATTTGCATTTGTGAATTACACGCCTATTGTGAATTACACGTATTTCATCTTGTAGCATACTAATAAATGACCATTAATTTTGTGCAGAAGATCAATGTGACATCAGTCAATGCAGGTATTTGCACTTGTTTTCAGGACCGATGTTGCCTTACATCACGGCATGGAAGGATGTCATTGGTGATGGAAACTGTGGCTTTCGTTGTGTGGCTGACTTCTTCTTTGGTGATCAAGCGCAATGGTTTACCACTCGGGAAACAATAGCAAATGAGGTCGCCGCTCATCCAATGTTGTACGAAAGGATTTACGGGATTGGAAGGGTTTGGATGAATGCAGAACGTATTCGATGGGATGGTGGGGCGGTTGATATGCGGCATTAGATGGTTGCAATTCAAGATTTATTTCCTATTGCTACTTGGTTCAACGCAAGGGTGATTTGTCTCGGTATAGGCAGCGTACCAACCTGCTACTACCCATGCATCACGGTGTTACCGTTGCGAGCACGAAGCACGGTCAGGGCACCCGCTCGAGGGTTCGTGATCGCTACAGTTGGTGGGTCACTCCGTCTTGATCTTGAACAAGATTCACCTCTTCCCCCAATTGCAGGTTGGTGGACCGAGCACCACGAGCCAAGTGTTGATGGATGGGATCAGCAATATGAAGTTAGAAGGAGCATGTGGGATGCATTAATTAGGTAGTGAACTTATTTATGTACTTTCACTAAGGTTGATTAGTTGTAGCTATGTAATATAGATTAATAAAAGTAATTAAACTAAATTCCAACAAAACCAAATATAAAAGTGTCCAGTTCTTACATTACATGCCGAATACAAAGTAATATAAAATAATGAATACAAGTAATAAAAATGCAACCACTAATACGAATAAAGAGTAATCTACAACCCCATCATCGCCTTCCACTCAACTATCAGTTGCTCAGTCATTGCCCTTAATTCACGCGACATGTTGGGATACTCATCTAGTGCTCTTTGGTGAATCTCCATGGACCGACCCATCCATTGCAAATAAGAAAACAACATATTATAGAAATTACAATTACTAGAAGTCGGATTAATAGTATAGTAAAACACAACTACTTACATAATCCGTGTTAGTCCTCTCAGAAAGACTGCTACTCCCAGCTGATGAACCCCCAGGAGATACATGAGGGTGAGAAAATCTATACAGCCACTGCATGTAATCAGGAGCGACCGTAGGAGCTCGACGACCAAGTCTGGCGTGGGTAGCTAAAACTACACTGAAAGACGAACCAGGGGCAAACCTGGTCCACATCACAGATGTCATCTCGGTCGGAAATTCTACCCGATACATCTTCAAGTTGGTTGGTCTCTTGGCCTTCTCTTGCCTGATAATGCTCTTTGGAATGTCCTGCACGAATCCAAGTTGTCAAACCACTCGATTAGGCATGTACGGCTCAATGATGCTACGGTACTGGATGCAGCCAATAAATAAAGTGGATGGCACGTGTCGTGCAGGATCAACTCCGTACGGGAGCCAGTTAACCTCACAGTCAGTCAGCTCATCCAGTCTAGCACGAAAAGCTAAGAGGCGCTCCGTGCTCTTGTTAGGGCATCCCGATCCAACATCCCAAGCAGATACACGAGGGATATTAAGCTCCCTCGTCAAAGTACCCTGCTGAGGCCGAAAGCATGGAAAGTACTCGTAAATCCACGCTTGCAGAAGCGTGAGACAACCAGCGATCGAATCAGCATCTTTTCGTGATGCCGTACTCAACTGCCGATACAGGTAGGCTAGAGTAGCTGAACCCCAAGAGTACTCATTAATCGGAACACCTTCAACAACAAGCTCGTGGAGGAAGGAAGGATGAGTGCGGTTACCACTCTTGTCTAAAAACAGTGATCCTCCTAGTACTAACCACATGTATGCAATATAATGGACACTAAAGGGCCTCTGCGCCTCCAAAGTCGTACCAAAAATCCTCTCAGTCAGCACCCCACTACCCTGCCAAATGGTTTTAGTACCGCACTTCTTATTCAACTCTTCCGCAGTCATATCCATGGTAACCGAGCACGTGTCCCGTATGGCGTCCGTGCTAGGAGTAGTGGAAACCATAGAACCATCAACACGAAGCCCAAGAATATGGTACACATCGTGCATCATGATCGTGATCTCCCCAAATGGCATATGAAATGTGTTCGTATCTGGCTGCCATCTCTGAACAAAAGCAGAAATCAACGACCAGTCGAGACGCTTAAACATAATCCCAGGTAAGTGAGACAGACCACTGCCATCAATCAATTCGAGGTGCTCCTGTGCAAGACGACCTCGCCAATTAACCAATTCAGAACACAACTGTGTCCTACTCAAACAACGTAAAACATTTCGCTCCTTCCCGCCCATATATATGACACCACGTGACCACCAAAACTAGGGATAACAGCCCCATCCTCAGGACCACTTGGCATCGGCTGCTGCACTAACCATGTCTCTGCTGAGCTGGTAGTAGGTTGACTCGCTTGACTACTAACAAATCTCCCATGCTGACCCCTATATACCG